GCCGCATCGCCGACCTCCGCCGTCAACCCGTTCAGAACCAGCCGGCGCGCCATTGCGCCCCGGCCGCCGCATCCGACCCTCACATCACTGCTACCACACCACACGCGCGCTAACCGTTTTCGAAACCATTTCAACAAACGGACTTTACCCACTATCTTCACTGGGATATAGCGACATTTATGTAGCTAAATATTGCAACAGTTAATTCAACAGTAACTTTAAAGAAGAATATTTTAATCCACATAAAACTTTACGTTGCGTTTTAGATAATTCTAATATAGAAGAACAAAAATCTGAAACCTATAAACACGATTTAATGGCAATAGTAAACTTTGCTACTAAACAAAGCAACCATTCTTGAAGTTTGTCGGACGCCGAACGCGCACTCGCGGATAAAATCGGGTGAGACGAAACACGACCCTCCCGTAGCGCGACTACCGTACTACTAACGGACGGATGAAAATCACTTGTCTTCTCAATACGGTTGCTGACCGGAAAATGCAATTTTCCCTACGTACCACCAAATTGAAACTTATACTTTACCTAGCAATTCATACAAAACATTATTTATACCTACTTGAGTTTTTACATCTTAAATATTTATGTCTCCATTGTTACATTCATTGTGTGAAGCACTTTTACAGCCTTTGTGACAATGAACTCTACAAAGAGTTGGAGCCTTTGAAAGTACAAAGAGCATTTATTTTTTAGCCGAAACCTAGATGAAATAACATGAACTCTTCTTTTACAAGGGAAATTGTTTTGTTTGTAGTTTTGTCGTGCCTTTAAATAATGATAAATATTATTAATTGTATTTCTTGTTGATATTATGTATTATTTATCTGGGCTAGGACCTAAAGAAAGACAGAATGTATCAGGTACTAACTTTAGGAAACGGTTGGCAACAGGCTGGCAACCAGTCACTATTCTTTCCCAACAACATTTAAGGGCCAATCAATGCATCTAGTTGCATGCACTGTTAAGGGGTAACTATGGAAGTGCTGTTTAAGTACCATGTAATGGTACTTCTGTTTAATAGTCTGCGCTGAGCTAAGCCGAGGCTTATATAATAAAAATATTATTATACTAGCGCCCGTCTGCGACTTCGTCCACGCTAACTTTTTTTTTTTCGGAAAAAAAATATCCTTTGTCTCAATCCAGGTAGTAAACTATATGTGTGCCAAAGTTTATCCAATTTGTTTAGCCCTTTTCCGATTTAATCAAGCCTGGCCATTAAACACTCCCCAGTAAAATTTATTGCCCTTTTTCACCCCGTTAGGGGCAGAGTTTCAAAGAACCCTGATGCAAGTGTTTCTTCATTTCAGGTCTCGAGTATAATTACTGCATTTCAAGTAAATCGAAATGCGCGTTAAAATTCATTTATAGAAAAAATTTAAGGACCCTCCAATCCCCCCTTTAGGGCTTGATTGGGCAAACCAAAAAACTTTATAATTTATTTAGATAAGTATTCGTACCAAGTTTTAAGTCTAATAACCTTTAATAACTCAAGGAATAGATTTTTTATACAAACTTTCATCACCCTTTTACCTTATTATGGGTGGATTTTCGTAAAACCCTGATACGGGTTATTCTTTATTTCTGGTCTTTAGTAAAAACCCAACATTTGAGTTAGTCGAAATGCGCGTTAAAATTCGAGTTCATTCACATAAAACTTTGACACCCTCCCAATCTCTTTTTAAGAGGTGGTTTAGGAAAACTATAAATTACAAAGTTTATTAGCTCAAGGAATAAGATTTTTCAGACAAGCTTTCATCCCCTATATCCTTTCGGGGGCGAATTTTGACAATTCCTTTCTTAGTGCACCCCTACACCTCATAAGGAACATACGTGCCAAAGGAGACTGAAACGATTACATACAATCTTGGGCCTAGGTGTAGGAAAATGAAAGTGGTGTCAATTAATAGTTATATATTATAAGCCTTTCACTGAAAATTCTGCGGATTTTGTCAATCTGAGAGAGATTAAGTAAAAGTGAGGTTAGGTTGCAATCTTTAATTAACAGCTGAGTCCTGAAGTACAAAATGTGTTCTTTTGCACTAATAGCTATTAAACTAACTAGAAAATGTTTGAAAAATCATATGAATGAACGTCAACGACTTCAAGCGATAGGTAGCTTACAGGTAAGGAGATAGGGAAAGGATGTCGAAAATAAAATAAAAATCATTAAATATAGTGTTTTATTCGTCTTCTATTATAATTCAAATATCGTCTAGAAATTGTGCAGGTGATACTATATGATCTTGGGACAGCCCAGTTAAGATAAACCTGCCAGGCTGGTAGCTGGTTAGACGAGGTTATATTTACTTACAGACTGAGGTGCGAGCCATTGCCGAATCACTGACAGAATTGTTTCATCGTGTAAGGGTCGTCGGCCCAGTGTATTGCTGTGACCAGTGGATATCACACAATTCACACAGCGATCCACAGTTTGAATAATATCCAATCCACAAGCCGGCGGTAATATTCAAAATAACAATTCCAAGTCAAACGTGTGAGCGTTCTTCGGTGTCCAAGGTGAAGGCAAGGGTCGTACAAGGTAGGCAGGGTCAGAATCCGTAAAATACAAAGCAGTGGTCGTGAAAAATGACGAATAATCGGGAATGCATTCAAAACGCATCAGAAAACACGAAACGAGTGAGCAATCAAGAACAGTCGATAAACTGTCTAGTGTCAATGTGAGTCAGCTGTCATGTCAGTGGCATATAAGAGAGATTAAATCGATATGAAATTGATAATGATTACTATTGTTTTTTCAGTAATTAATTGATATTTGATTTATTAATATGACTGTAATTATATGCACTTTTTTGCATATAAGTATATATAGTGCATTTAATTACTTTGAGTTAATTGTTTAGTGCAAAAGTTTAATTTTCGTAACTGTGTAATCGATTACTGAATCGATAATCTCACGGAAACTATATTTCTCATATTTCTCCGCTTTCAGATGGGAAATTGAAGTGATTTTTCATATTCTTAGATAAATAATGGTGGATTATTAACTACTTAGTGGTTAATAGACACTAACATTCATAACGCGCCCGCGGCCAACTTCATGGTGTTACTATTGTGTTACAGTGATGCGCGCGCATCTCGAAATTTCACTCACATGATTTTTTCATAACGCGCCCGCGGCCAACTTCATGCTGTTACTTTTGGGTTACAGTGATGCGCGCGCATCTAAAAATTTCACTCTCATCATTTTTTCATAACGCACCTAAAGAAGTATAACTTCAAAAATATGACTAATTTTTTAGATCATATCTCAACTTATTACATTTGGGCCCACCGTTTTCCATCTCCTTTGGAGTATCCCCAGCGGTTTGGGCTCTGCGTTGATTATCAGTTAGTCAGTCACTCAAGTTCTTCTTATATATATTTTAGGTAAGCGCCGTAATAGTAATTTTAAAAAGATGCATGCGTTTAATAAAAATTCTTGCGTGAGTTCTCACAGAAACATATTAAATCCCTTTGGGTTGTGTGAAAAAGGAATGAATAAGTCCAGAAGTTGTATATCTTTTGATCACTTACAATTTTGCCATATTTTAATAAAATATAGAAGTGCTTGAACACCACTCAAGCACTTCTTGGTTCACAGTCACGCGCGGACGGTGAAAAGCAGTGTTGCCAGGTCCGATTTTCAAAAATCAGAAGTCGTTATAGAAAAAAACAGTAGATGTATGGAAAGAGCTACAAGAACAACAGTAGATGCAGAGGCGTTAGTAAATCAAATCAAGATAAAGACCAATAACGAATGTGTTTCTGTGGCTTCTGCCGCCTCTCAACACTACTTTTTTAGACCATTACATTTATTTTATAATTATTAAGGTTATCTACATTATTATTGAATGAAATGCAACTCAACATGCAATTTAAAAAAGAAAATCGTATTCTTAAAAAACAGGAGATTCATGTAGAAAAACAGTAGAACAGGAGAAATTTCAGAAAAACAGGAGATCTCCTGTAAAATCTGGAGACCTGGCAACACTACTGAAAAGTCAACATGCCGGAGAGCTCCACGAAAAAATGCGAAAGCAATACTTATAGTACGTAAAGGTGTCGTTTTTCGACAGGTATCTAATCATTGTTTGTTAATTTAACGTATTTGAAGCACATTTTCTTCTAATACCTACTATAAACTGATTTAATATGGCATATTTGTGATATTCAAATGCATGGTCGGTAATTTTGCCCTTTTTCCTCGCGATCCGTACCTGCTATATTAAGCAGGCTGTAAGCGCATTCAGAATAGCGCATAGAGTCAGAGAAATAAGGTCTATATTCTGCCGCATATAGCAATAAGTCATACAATTTTATGAGATTGCATTTCGAACTGTTATAACTTTTTGACACATGCGTTTTAATTAAGACCTTATACGGTATGCGTTAAAGGCGACTTTCAATATTTAAATAATGCCTTATATTGTTTTTGACTACGCAATCATCTTACGGAGCTCCGTGGATCGTCCAGTATAGCTTTTGGACAGGTTTCGGGCACGATTTTGTTCGTGTTGGTGTATCTAGGGTATTTAATATCGTTGGGAGGGAGCAGTTACTACAGTTTATTGAGTCAAACAGCGGCCAGCAGCGCCTGCAGAAGGCGCGGGTCGAGCCCGGGAGCAGTGGTCGTGAGGAAGGAGCAGTAATGAGAAGGCGGCTTCGATTACAACAGTCTATTCAGTCAGACGGCAGCCAGCAGCGCCTGCAGACGACGCGGGTCGAGCCCGGCATCAGCGGTCGTGAGGAAGGAGCAGTAATGAGAAGGCGGCATCGGTTACAATAGTCTATTCAGTCAGACGACAGCCAGCAGCGCCTGCAGACGGCGCAGGTCGAGCCCGGCAGCAGTGGTCGTGAGGACGGAGCAGTAATGAGAATGCGGCGTCGGTTACAACAATTTATTGAGTCAAGACGGCGGCCAGCAGCGCCTGCAGGTGACGCGGGTTGAGCCAGGCAGCAGTGGACGTGAGGAAGGAGCAGTAATGAGAAGGCGGCATCGGTTACAACAGTCTATTCAGTCAGGCGGCAGCCAGCAGCGCCTGCAGACGGCTCAGGTAGAGTCCGGCAGCAGCAGTCGTGAGGAAGGAGCAGTAATGAGAAGGCGGCATCGGTTACAACAGTATATTCAGTCAGACGGCGGCCAGCAGCGCCTGCAGGCGACGCGGGTTGAGCCCGGCAGCAGTGGACGTGAGGAAAGAGCAGTAATGAGAAGGTGGCATCGGTTACGACAGTCTTTTCAGTCAGATGGCAGCCAGCAGCGCCTGCAGGCAGCGCAGGTCGAGCCCGGCAGCAGCGGTCGTGAGGACGGAGCAGTAATGAGAATGCGGCGTCGGTTACAACAATTTATTGAGTCAGATGGCGGCCAGCAGCGCCTGCAGATGACGCGGGTTGAGCCAGGCAGCAGTGGACGTGAGGAAGGAGCAGTAATGAGAAGGCGGCATCGGTTACAATAGTCTATTCAGTCAGGCGGCAGCCAGCAGCGCCTGCAGACGGCGCAGGTAGAGTCCGGCAGCAGCGGTCGTGAGGAAGGAGCAGTAATGAGAAGGCGGCATCGGTTACGACAGTCTTTTCAGTCAGATGGCAGCCAGCAGCGCCTGCAGACAGCGCAGGTCGAGCCCGGCAGCAGTGGTCGTGATGACGGAGCAGTAATGAGAATGCGGCGTCGTTTACATCAATTGATTGAGTCGGAGGGCGGCCAGCAGCGCCTGCAGGCGACGCGGGTCGAGCCCGTCAGCAATGGACGTAAGGAAGGAGCAGTAATGAGAAGGCAGCTTCAGTTACAACAGTTTATTGATTCAGACGGCAGCCAGCAACGCCTGCTGACGGCGCAGGTAGAGTCCGGCAGCAGCGGTCGTGAGGAAGGAGCAGTAATGAGAAGGCGGCATCGGTTACGACAGTCTTTTCAGTCAGATGGCAGCCAGCAGCGCCTGCAGACAGCGCAGGTCGAGCCCGGCAGCAGTGGTCGTGATGACGGAGCAGTTATGAGAATGCAGCGTCGTTTACAACAGTTGATTGAGTCGGAGGGCGGCCAGCAGCGCCTGCAGGAGACGCGGGTTGAGCCCGTCAGCAATGGACGTAAGGAAGGAGCAGTAATGAGAAGGCGGCTTCAGTTACAACAGTTTATTGATTCAGACGGCGGCCAGCTGCTCCTGTAAGTGATACGTATCGAGGCCTGCAGCTGCAGCGGCAGTGGCGCATGCAGCAGAGTGTGCAGTTGCGGGCCAGCGATGTCCCAGTAACGCTAGTAGTGCAGTAAGCTCCATGGATCGTCCAATGTACCTTTTGGACTGGTTTCGGACACGATTTTGTTCGCGTTGGTGTATCTAGCTAGGGTATTTAATATCGTTGGGAGGGAGCAGTAGTCAGAAGGCGGCGTCGGTTACAACAGTTTATCAAGTCAGACGGCGGCGAGCAGCGCCTGTAGACGGCGCGGGTCTAGGCCTGCAGCTGCAGCTGCAGCGGCGCGTGCAGCGGCGTGTGCAGTAGCGGGCCAGCGATGTGCCAGTAACGCTAGTAGTGCAGTAAGGGCACATAATGCGGCCGCTAGTGGTAATAGCGCCGGCGCTCGACGACGCGACGCTGCGGCATGGTGGGCTGGCAGTAACTCACGGTCAGCGCACTGCACGCAACTATAACAACGCAGAAGTAATAATGTTAATAATATTTAGTATTTTTTTGAGAAACCCCTGTGGGTTTTTTAAAAAAAAAACTGGGATAAAAAGTATCTTAAGATAACAAGTGTCGCTGGCTCGAGAGGTCCCGGGTTCGAATCCCGGTAGGGGCAGATGTTTGTGTGACAATTACGAGCATTTGTACTCCAGTCATGGATGTTAAACATGTATTTTTATATAATTGTACTAATATATGTACAGTATATGTATTCTATCCGTTACCCTAGTATCCCATAACACAAACCTTACAGTGCTTACTTTGGGGCTAGGCTAATTAGTGTGTTGGAAATATTTATTTATTTTTTATGTCTCAATTCGGATCATAACTATATGTATACCAAATTTCATTCATATCCATTTAGTAGCTTTGCGTTATTGAGTAACAAACAAACTCACTTTTGCATTTATAATATGGTTAAGATAGATTGAAGAACCGTCCTAAAGCAGTACCGTCCACATTTGGGAAGTGTCCGAAAGCTTGAAATGACGGACATGGAACGCGGGCGTTGTGAAAGAGACCCATTTGGGCGGTTTTTTTTTTTCATTTTGATTTTGTTAATTTTCGCTTTTAATTGAAGATATTAAATCAACGTCCGAACCTCAGCATTCCCAGGTACGCGACTTTCGTCACCTGGACGCTACTTACTACACCTGCGAGCACTTTCAACACACCTAAAATTCAATTTATAATATACACTCGCCCTCCATAACTCGGTTTCCACCTGCTATACAACGGCGAGAAGTCGCAGCGGCAGTTTTAGTATACTACCATCACTATCACGAAATTACTTGTATGAATAAACGAAATTAATTTGCAATGTGACTGTAGATATTAACTCACCCTCCATGCCTCGCTAATCCTCTCACCGGTCGAGCGCCTCTCTCCGCTTGCCACGCGACAGCCAATAATCTCATAGTATCCGCCGCCCGCCAATGACGCAAGTGGAAAAATAGAGTACGCGACCGCGCCTTTTATCGTTTGTCCAGTGCTAGAGGATATAAACTTACCCTAAATGCCTGGTCTAGCACCTCTCTTCGCTTGCCAGATAACCGCCAATAATCACAATTCGGTTGCCCGCCAATGACGCAGGTAAAAGACCTAGTACACAACCTTCACTCTTATGCAGCTAATTTAATTGTTTGTCCTGTAATAGAGGTTACAAACTCACCCTCCATGCCTCGCTAATCCTCTCCCCGGTCGAGCGCCTCTCTCCGCTTGCCACGCGACGGCCAATAATCTCAAAGCATCCGCCGCCCGCCAATGACGCAAGTGGAAGAAAGCGTACGCGACCGCTTCGCTATCGCCGCGCTTCAATACGTGCTCCGGTGGCAACGTCAACGGTCGCAATTCGAGAAGATATTCAGGTACGTACGGGTTGAATTCTATCGCGCGACGGATCGCCTGCAATGAGAGTAATAGATATTAGATTTGCACTAGTATATATTGCATTTTACGGGTGATGTTTCGAGTCTTATAAAATAATTATTAATGAACTAATTATAAAAATATATAAGTACATATTTCAGTAATTCAATGATGGTAAATTAGTTTTATGAAAGCTTTTGATAGTAATTCTATTTAATCAATATCAAAATACGAGGTAAACCTGCATTGTTTTTTGGGAAAACTCACGGAGGTTAGATGTCTTTTTTGATAATTAATGAGATGCAAAATCAAAATTCTTATACATTATGTAACAACAAAAACATATTTCTGATGTCGTAGTAATTAATATGATCTAATTTATTGAACATTATTTAGAGAATTAGGCGTTTAAGTTGTGCATATTATCGTTTTTTCTGTAAACTAGCTGCGGTAGAACGATCAGTACACTAAAATAGAAAATAGTTTTTGCAAATATTCTACATTAACTTACAATAGGAAGAATAAATCTACTGTTTACTTTTATTGGAAATAGTCAAAATAAATTCTAAGGGGCTACACGAGGCGCTCAAAAATTACGATTTTTTGCAAAAAATGTGAAAGGGCTCTTAATAATAAAGAAAATTGTAAAAGTCTAAATATACTAGTATATTACTGCCTTGTTTTACTTATCTATGGGCTATCTAACCCCTCGTTTACACCAAGAGTCATAATACTTACTAGTTTTATACAAAACTTGTAGAATACTTGTTGTGACATTGTTTCTTTTTTTACACTGCAAAGACAATGAGTATCTTTACAAGTATAAATCACTATTTACTTCACATATTTTGTGTATCCAACAAGTTTGATGCAAGTATTGTATACTACATGTTTTATACATGTACACACATAAAAAAAAAGTTTGAATCACTTGCAAAAGCTAATTTTAAAAATTCACTTTCTGAAAGTAAAAAATAAAACTGATTTTATTATTTAGTATAAAAAAATAATAATTCAATCTTAAGGCGATCCTAATAGAACTTTGATAGAAATAAAAAGATAGTTTAACCAAACTTATAAACCTTTTATTAATAAATTGTTGTTTATCTAACACATGCGCAGATCCTCCTGGGCATGCTGAGGATAAAGTTATCCAGCATTTCTTGTAACCTGTCCCATTCTTGAACAGCAGCTTCCCTCAGCTGCGGCTCTGTCTGGGGAGCTGGTTGCCGGTTCCAAACAGCTCGCTTAAGAGCATCCCATGCGTGCTGTATTGGGTTTAAGTCAGGAAAGCCGGCAGGCCAGTCTAACCTTGAGATTTCGTATTCTCGGAGAGCAGCATTGACTCGTTGAGCTCGATGTGCGGGCGCATTATCGTCAACCAGTACAAATTGGTGCCCATGGTTTACTCGGAAAGGTCTGACGATTCCATCAATAGCGACTGTTTTGTATTTGTCTGCCGTCATGAAGCCTTGATAAGGGATTAAAGGCGTTCTAGCCCCAATCATAATACCACCCCATAAGGACACTGATTTCCCGCCTTGCTGAACCGTTCCAGTGGCCGTTCTTTGCCTTTCAGACTCCAGGTCTTCTCCAAACACGGACACGTCGGTTATCTGGATGAGTACTGATTCGCGATTCGTCAACAAAGAGGCAGTTTTGCCAAATGTTTTCCTCTTCGGCTTCTTCGTTTTGCCGGAGCCTAGCCCATTGTAATCTCCGTCGCTGACGTTCCCGTGAATTCAAAGGTGCTTGCAAAGACCTTCGTGCTCGTAATACCAGCAACCTGATGTAGCGCTTCTGAGCAGCTGCCAAAACAGTTGAGAGACCGCTGCTATGTCGATCGAGAGGGTGGATCAGCTAAATTACGCATGCCGTGGTGGCAACTCCGCGTGCTATTTCTCTCGCAGAATAGCCTTCTTTACAATTGTGGCTCGTTAAACATCTGATAATCCTCGTTGCATTTTTAAATCACAACTTTCCGTGACAAATATTTTAAATTCGATAATATTTATGTTTTTATTTATTTTTAAGCATTTAACTGCTAGATGTTTAAATCTAAATGCAATATGCAATGCGAAGAGACGTCGCTGCCTTGCAGCTTAAGGCTAGGAAAATTTCGACGCGGCGAAAAGGGCCGTGGTAGCATAATGGTCAGTGCATTCGCCCGGATAGCGAAGGGTGCGGGTTCGAGTCCCGTCCGCTGCCTGGTCCGCGTGGATTTTTTTCTAGTAAGCTTTTCTTTAGATTTAAACATCTAGCAGTTAAATGCTTAAAAATAAATAAAAACATAACTATAATTGCTATTTCTTCTTTCAAATGTTTAATACTTGTGTACGGGTTTTGTACACCTTTTATGATATAGAGAGAGAAGAGAAAGTCTTGATATGTTTAAATGATATATTACTGATAACAAACTGATAATTACGAAACTAAAATGATATGACTGTGAGAACGCGTGGTACGAATAATGACCGATGACGAACTGATTCATAATTAACCTAAATAAATGCATGTGGCGTAAAATGCCGACGGGGCAAAAGGTACGCGCTTGCTCGTACATGCTCCCGGGCCAAAGATAGGGAGAGAGATGATAATGGTTTGATGTAAGTGAGTGACGCGATTATAAGGTGATAAAACAATATTTTCTTAAAAATAATAACATATTGATAAAACAATGTTCTCTAGAATTAATTACAGTGAACTAAATTCTCTATGAAAAATAGGTGACGAGGCACAGTCAACAACGCGCGGAGCGGATAAACTCGGTTTAACACTCACTCTTTTATCTAAACTTTCATTCACTTTTAAATTGCTCATTTCAATATTTACATTACGACATTGATTCGCGCACTGAACCACACTATCACTAACACCCTCAACAGTTTCTTGAGGGAGGCCAGCGGGGGTGCTAGCCTGTGCTCCATGGGGCTGGGGCTCTTCCCTCGCCCGCCCTGGCCGGCGGCGCCAGCGACGTCGGAAGATAACCACTGCCATACTTATGACGCTACCGAGACCCACTACGTAAATAGCAACGTAATGGTGCACGTCATGATAAGACACTCGATCCGCCAGAACACCTTCGGAACCGATGTTTTTCAAATCTTGAATCTGCCGATCTATCTCCTCTAGGTCATCAGGATTAGTGACATTGACTGAAGTCACTATGGAAGGCGTATGGATAGTTATATTCATGATATTATTGATAGTTGGAATATCAAATTTTATGATATCGGCCTTTTTTTCAAATGTATTTGTAAATTTCTTATGCGGATATACTGTGAAGCTATCGCCTTTGATTATGCAATCGTTGCTAAGTGTGATTATTCCAGCCATGATAAGTTGTTCGGCTGTAACTTGAGTCTCGCATATGACGCGGACAGTGCATTGACCACAACAAAAAAATAAATAAGTATTTATATTATTTAAATCCATCCAGATATTACGACACATTGAATTCGTGGTCTCACATTGATCGGATAATTTATTTTTAATGCACAAACTTTCATCTGATGTCATCTGATACACGGGTTGTTTTAGTGGACATATGTATGTATCTTTATCGTACTTAATGCATTCTCGTCATGCTTTAAAAATAATAAAAATTATGTCTAATAATTTTATTTTTTGCACGCGTCAATTCAGGTAGTGTTAGATAATTTTGCTTAATACGTTGTTTCGATGATAATCTTAATAACCATGCCGTGATTCTAAAGACCTTCATAAATGAGCTGTATTTAGTTAACAATTTTTCTATGATATTATTTTCTAAATTCGTCAGAACATTCTCTTGTTTGGTGTCTTTTGTTTCTAAATCTGTAGAGTAAGATAACTGTTTCTCTTGCTCGATGAAACTTTGAAGCCAGGATGGTCCTTGCCACCATAAAGGATGAGTTGTTAATTGCGAAACATTTAAGCCACGACTGGCACAGTCCGCGGGGTTTTCGTCCGACTTTACGTAACGCCAGCATTCTGGAGGCATTACGCTGCTTATTTCTTTTACTCTGTTTGATATAAATGACTTCCATCTTGCTGGGTCTCCATTCAGCCAACCCAAAACAATCATAGAGTCTGACCAGCCATAAACTTTGATATCGTAGTTACTAAGACATTGCTTGACTTTTAACATTAATTTTGACAGTAGAAGAGCTCCGCTTAGTTCGAGTTTAAGTAACGAAACATTTGACTTTGAAGGTACTAATCTTGCTTTTGCTACAAATAATGATATGTTTGTACATTCCGATCTTTTAACTTTGCAATATATAACGCACGCGTATGCCTTCAGCGAAGCGTCACAAAAGCCATGCAACTCGATACTATCACCTTGCTTTGTACCTATCCATCGTTCTATTTTTAGATTATTTATGTTTTTAATTATGTCCTCTTTGATAATTATCCATTCTGTTTGAATTTCTTCCGGTAAATTGTCATCCCATTTTATATCAGCAAACCAAACATTTTGAAATATTATTTTTAACTTAGTTGATACGGGTGTTAACCAACCTAATGGGTCAAACAGCTTTGATATATCGGAAAGCAATGATCTCTTGGTATCAGGCTTAGATGATGTATGATAACTTTTTGCATCAAATGAAAATGTATCTAAACTAGGGTTCCAATTAAGTCCGAGAATATTTGAGTACTCAACCTTTTTAACGATATTTTGACTATTTGAGTCGTTATTGAACTCCATTATTTCGGCAACATTCGACCTCCATTTTCTGAGATTGAATCCTCCTGATTTTAATAAATTAATCAGGTCGTAGCATAATTTCGTAGCTGAGCTGATACTATGAGCACCATGAACAAGGTCGTCCATATAAAACGATTGTTCAAGGACATCTGGAGCTTGATCTTGATAAATGCTGTTAGTTACATATTTTGCTCTTTCATCTGCGGCCAACCTTTTGAGGGTCATCATAGCCAGGAATGGAGCGGCTTTGGTACCGTAAGTTACCGTAGCTAACTGATATTCTGTGAGCGGTTGGTTTGGTGAACCACGCCATATGATTTTTTGATAATTTTGATCTTTGTTA